CCTGCCCTTAGCTGGGACCCCAGTGGTTTCTCCCTCCCCTTCGAATTCCTGGAAACTGCCCCCACCACACCCACATGCTCACAAACACAGACAGATATGTGCACATGCTCAAGTGACACGCTCGTATTTGCACGTGAAGTCACAGCCACACATGGGTTTACCTACGTTCAAGGTCACATTAAGACTTCCATGGCCCCTTTCTCCGTTAGAAAAGAAATAAAAGTTATATTTTACAACTGTGTTGCTATGTAAAGAATGAATAGCATCCAGGCTGAATTCATTATTATATATTCATTATTGTTATATTCTCTCTTTTTTTCTTATTTTAAAATAAATTAAGATGAAAACATTTTCATGGGCCCCTCAAAGTATGGCGGGCCCTTGGACTATGCCTTCTGAGAAGGTCTGATGGAGAAGTCAGCCCTGCCAGCAAACACGAGCGGGTTCACACACATCTAGCCCCTCGTGCCATAGTATATCCACTCCATGACTGTTCATAAAGTTCCCAAGCTATTGTTAACATCAGCCATTTCCTGGGCCCTTTTCTGTGCCAGGCGCTAAGGGACCTGCTTTCCGTGAATTCCCGTATTTTATTTCCTTGATAGAGAGGGAAATGGACATGCGGAGACGTGACGTGACTCGCCTCCGGTCAGACCGCAGGGGTCCTCATGACACCAAAGCCCGTGTTGTCATCATCTCCCAAGGGCCTGGGCCTGGGTGGGCACCAAGGGTTCAGTGATGCTCACTCCCTTGCCCACAGACTCTCCTGGGCACACACACCGCCCCCCGCCCTGGCGGTCTCCTGCAGCGAAAGCCCCACCCTAGTGTCCATGCCCAGCCCCAGGGCAGTGAGCCTGGCCTTCTATGGAGCCAGGTGGCCCGGATACCTCCAGCCCCAAGAGTCAGCAGGGCCCAAAGAGGCTGAGGGGCTGAGACTGTGGCAGGGAAGTGGGCAGGGCCACGAGCAGGGACCTTGTCCAGTGTTCGCATGTCTGCCGTGCCGGGGCAGCGGGTGGTGCAGGCCCTCCTCCAGCCTCTGGAGCTCAATATTCGTAGTAGTTGCTACTTTATCATGGTTACCATGTCCTTGCCTGGCAATGCAGGCGAGGACAGCACCTGTTTCCGGTGACATGGGTTCAGTCCGTGCCGCAGTGCCTGGCGCTGAGTGAGTTCCTGCTACCCACCCACTGCAAGCCAGAGAACGAGAAAGGCATGACTTAGGGCAGAGGAGGTGTAGTCGCTTTAGGAGAAAGGACAGGATTGATAGACGTGGAGCCATGTGGGCGAGGGTGTCAGAGAGGACCAGCCAGCGGCACCCCCAGATTTGAACCAGGTGGTTGGGCGGCGGCGGAGGGTCCCTGGAGGACTGAGTACTTCTGGGCGAGTCAGCAGGACATCAGGCCCAGGACAGGGGCGGCGACCTGCCTTCTCCCAGCGCAGGGAACCAGCATCCCCTTCGCCCAGGAGGGTCCCCTGCAAATCCCATGTCCTAAGACAGTGATGGCGAACCTTTTGAGCTCGGTGTGTCAGCATTTTGAAAAACCCTAACTTAACTCTGGTGCCGTGTCACATATAGAATTTTTTTGATATTTGAAACCATAGTAAAACGAAGACTTATATTTTTGATATTTATTTTATATATTTAAACGCCATTTAACAAAGAAAAATCAACCAAAAAATGAGTTCGCGTGTCACCTCTGACACACGTGTCATAGGTTCGCCATCACTGTCCTGAGAAAACCCTCAATTCCAGGCAGGCGGGCCAGTTGGTCCCCCAGAACACCCAGCAGGCACAGGGCGCCAACTGTGGCCTGCACTGGGCTCAGACCTGGGCTCAGACCTGGCTGAGTGAGGCCGAAGCACGCTGACGCCATCTCCTGAGGTGACACACCGTGGACTGTCCCTCCTCAGATAACAATCACACCGCCCTTTCCTGCTCCCAGCTCTGGTGCTTGGCCTCAGGGGCCAGGGAGCGCTTCCTCAGGATGCCCCTGGGAACTGACTCAATTCTGAGAAGCGAGCGGGTGGACTCTGGCCGGACTGATTGCTCAGCTCCTGGAAACTCCCGGCTCCCTCCCGCCCCGGGGCCTTGGCACCACTCTCTCCGCGGGACACGCTTTCCCTCCCGGCTTGGAGGCCACATTCTCCTGGGAGCCCTGCCTGACTCCCACAGGACTGGGCCGGTGCCCACAGCGCCCTCGAGAGCAGCCCCCTGCCCCTAAACACCCACTCCGTCTCCAGGGCTGGGCCGGACCCCCTCCGAGGAAAGAGGAAGGAGGGAGGCTGGAAGGAAGAGGCTCCGACTGCGGGGCAGTTCTCAGAAAGTCCCAGCAAAGCCGATGGGAGCCCTGGAGCGCCGTGTCTGCCAGCTACAGCCCGTCTCGCCGTCCAGGCCCAGCCCTGGAGGCTTGGCCTCGGTGCTAAGGGCACAGCTGTCCCCTCAGTCACATCAGAGAGACACATGCCCATGGCTACCGCAAGGCACTGCCTTTTTTTTTTTTTTTTTTTGGCCGTGGCAATTAAAAAAAAACCTGCTTTATTAAGATATAACAATGCACGCACCATGTAATTCAGCCATATAAAGTGTGCTATTCGGTGGTTCATAGTATGTTCACATTTGTGCAATCATGACCACAAGCTAATTTTAGAACATTTTCATCGGCCAAAAAGATACGCCGCACCCATTATCAGGGATTCCCTATTCCCATCCACCCCTCCACACCCAGACCAAGGCAATCACTGATCTACTCTCTGTCTCTGTAGGTTTGCCTGTTTCATATTAGTGGAATCACATAATTTGAATTATTATCTGAGTGTGATTATTATCTGAGGAGGGACATTCCACGCTGTGTCACCTCGGGAGATGGCTCCTCTCACTTAGCACAGTTTCAAGGTCCACCCAGGTTGCAGCGTTGCAGCGTGTACTCCGCTTCCTCTTACTGTTCGTTGATATTGTATCACATGAATTTACCACATTTTGTTCGTCAATTGATGAGCATTTAGGTTGCTTCCACTTTTTGGCAGTTACGAGTAATGATGCTTATGAACATTCATGTTCAAGTTTTTGCGTGGACATGTTTCCATTTCTCTTGGGTAGATATGTAGGGTTGGAATTGCTGGGTCTAATGGGAGCTCTATAGTTAACATTTTAGGGAACTTCTAGGGTGTTTTCCATTTCCAGAAGCAGTGTACAAGGGCTCCAATATCTCAACATCTTCAAACACAATTATACATCGTCTTTGTTATAGCAGCCATCCTACTGGGTGTGCAGTGGCATCTTTTCCTTTTTTTTTTTTCATATCCTCAAGTGAGGATTTTTTTAAACTTATTTTTCTTTTCCTTTTTAAATTCTTTTTAAAAATATATTTTATTGATTTTACAGAGAAGAAAGGAGAGGGATCGAGAGTTAGAAACATCGATGAGAAACCGATCAGCTGCCTCCTGCACGCCCCCTGCTGGGGATCAAGCCTGCAACCAACGTACATGCCCTTGAGTAGAATCAAACCCGGGACCCTTCAGTCCTCGGGCTGGCGCTCTATCCACTGAGCCAAACCAGGCAGGGCTGCAGTGGCATCTTAATGGGACATTTCCCTAATGACTAATGATGTTGAGCATATTTTCATGTGCTTATTAGTCATTTATACATTATGATTTCAAGTACTTTCTCCCATACCATGGGTTGTCTTCTCACTTTCTTGATGGTATCCTTTGAGGCACAAAAGTTTTTCATTTCAATGAAGTCTAATTTATCTGTTGTTTTTCTTCTGTTGCTTGTACTTTTGATGTACATGAGAGACCATCTTCTAACTCAAGGTCACAAATGTGTACTCCTGTTTTCTTCTAGGAGTTTTATAATTTTAGCTTTCACATGTAGGTCTGTGGTCCACTTCGAGTTCATTTCTGTGTATGATGTGAGGTGGGGTTCCAAGTTTATACTTTTGCATGTGGACATCCAGTGGTCCCCACACAATTTGCTGAAAAGGTGATTCTTTTCTTATTGAATTTTCTTGCCACTCTTGCCAAAAAGCAATTGACCATGCAAGTGAGAGTTTATTTCTGGACTCTCAGTTCCACTCCATTGATGTATATGTCTATCCTTGTGCCAGTACCATACTTTCTTGGTTCCTGTAGCTTTTTTTAGTAAATGATGTGCAGTGAGTCCTCCAATATTTTTCTTCTTTTTATAGGCTTTGACCTTTTAAATGTGTGTCTGCTAAGTCTCTTTTGATATATGGTGCCCCAGGTTTTCCCTCCCTTGTATTTTATTTGTTGAAGAAACAGGGTCATTTGTTTTATGGTAGTTCCATCCGTCTGAGTCTGCTGGAACATTTTATTTCAGAACATTTTCATCAGGCCAAAAAGATACCCTGGAGCCATGATCAGGCACTCCTCCTTCCCTGATTGTATCTCTGTGGTGTCTCTTAACATGTTCTTCTGACTCTTTTTAAAGTATATATATTTTATTGATTTTTTACAGAGAGGAAGGGAGAGGGATAGAGTTAGAAACATCGATGAGAGAGAAACATCTATCAGCTCCCTCCTGCACACTCCCTACTGGAGATGTGCCCGCAACCAAGGCACCTGCTGTTGACCAGAATCGAACCTGGGACCCTTCAGTCCGTAGGCCGATGCTCTACCCACTGAGCCAAACTGGTTAGGGCCTTCTGACCCTTGTATGTTAATGACCCAGAGGCCTTATTTGATGTAGATTTGATTTTAGCACAAGGATAACAGGCAGGTGGTATGTGTTTCCAGAGTCAGAACATAGAGTTGACTCTGTGATGTGAGGAGCTATTCATGATCTTCACCTGGATCTTTTTTTTTTTAATTTTCATTAGAGGTGATTTACAATTCTAAAGGGTCACCCTGGTTGCTGGGTGTGGGGGTGTCACTGGTGGTTTTGAGGGCTGAGGGATAATCCTACAACAGAGCACGAATTGCTCTGCCTGATGCACAGTGGCCACTCGATAAATACTAGCCCTTATTGTTGTTGTCATTAGAGCTGTGTGTGTGAGACTCAAGCCCTGGGCCGGGGTGTCCGCTCCCTTCTCCTCTGCCCCCGGAGGAGAAGTCGTCAGTGCCCCGAGGCTCTGGGAGGCATGTTCAGGAATTCGGCAGCCATCTCTGTGCACCTGGCGGGGTCCCTGCAGAGAAAGAAGGCTGGAGCTTCCCTCCGCCGGTGCTTGCACCAGACTGTAAGTGCTCTCTGCTGCCTGCGTGGCCCAGGGCCCCGGGAATCTGGCTTGGTCCTGGCTTCAAACCCACGCATGAGCCTCCTCTTTCAGGAAGCCTTCCCTGACTGCACCCTGAATGCGGGTCCCTCCCTTGCCTTTGCTTCTAATCTAGCACTTGTAGCTCTGCATCTGAATGGTTGCTTGGTGCTGCTGCCTCCCCATCACCCGCTGCGCCCAGCCCATGTTGGGTACACAGTCGGTGCTCAGTAAACGCTCACTGAATGAATACAATATGTGTCAGCCTGAGAACAGGCACTGCTGCCTCACTGGCCAAGAGCTGTGTGACATACTCGAAGGTCACTCCTTTGAGCACCCCAAGTTTCTGCAGTCCCCCATTATTTTTATCTCCTTCCTAAACGCATTCACCTCCTTTTTCTCTCTGTGTGCCCCTGCACCCCTCTATTCTTTCCCACCCCAACCCTCCTCAAACTTCCCCCACTCCAACTTCTATTCCCCTCTCCCCACACTGTTCCTGACTCATCTTTGCCTTTTTTTAAATATGATGCATTCCTAATTCAAAAGTAATTTGTCGTATCATTGTATCCAGGATGCCATCAATTGTGAGGTGCACTGTTGTTTTTTGGACAAGTGAAGGGGGAAAATGCCATTCAAACTCGTGCTATAGATTGTAAGACATCCAAATTCAGAGAAAGTACAATGCAAAACAATGCACACATCAGAACCCATTGGATATGGTATGATCTCCATGCGAAAAACCTGGAAGCAGAAAAGCATACACGTGAAATTAAATCACCTATAATGTTGCCCCTTCATATAGAACCTTTGTTAACATTTTGATATATTTCCTTCCAAACTTTTTTCTACTCATAGAGCGTCATAGAAAAAAGTGTATGTATATACAAATATATGCTAGGGTATGTTTTTTATAAAACATCATATTATTTTGTAGCCTGTTTTACTGATGTCAGCATGTCACATTGATAAATATCCTCCTAAAATGTAATTTTCTTCCACATTTTTTAGTCATAAAAAGAAAACATTTATTTTAGAAAATCTGGCCCTGGCTACCCTGGGTAGTTCAGTTGGTTAGAACATTATCCCAACATGCCAAGGTTTCGGGTTCGATTCCCAGTGAAGGGCACATATAAGAATCAACCAATGCCTGGCCAGCATGGCTCAGTGGTTGAGCGTCAACCTATCAACCAGGAGGTCACGTTTTGATTCCCAGTCAGGTTGCGGGCTCTATCCCCAGTAGGGGGGGTGCAGGAGGCAGCTGATCAGTGATTTTGCCTCATCATTGATGTTTCTCTCTCTCTCTCTCCCTCTCTCTCTCTCTCTCTCTCTCTCTCTCTCTCTCTCCCTTCCTCTCTGAAGTCAATAAACATATATTTAAAAAAAAGAATCAACCAATGAATGCATAAATCAGTGGAACAACAAATTGATCGATATTTTTCTCTCTCTCTCTTCCCCCTTTCCTCTCTCTAAACTCAATCAATATATAAAAAATTTAAACTATTTTGACATGTACTGAGCGCCAGGCCTGGTGATGGGTGTCGGGGATTCAGTGAAGGGACGGTGCCAATGTCAGCAAAGCACCTACTAGGTGCCATCCCCATGCTGGGCTCTCTTGGAATCGCTCACATTGGCAGGACTCTCGGGCTATGGGAAAACCTGGCCCATCTACAGAGGGTCCCGGGTCCTTGGGGACAGGGGCCTGGTGCTAGCAGCCCTGACCAGGGTCCTGTCCGGCCCCTCCTCTGACCGTGGGCAGGTCCTGAACCTCTCTGAGCCCCATGTCTTCATCTGCAGAGGGGAGGTTATCATGGCACCTCTGATAGGGACGCTGTGGGGACAGTGCGAGACCAGGAGAAACAGGAGGGGCTCCCTGTTAGCACAGCAGGTGCAGGAGAACATGAGAGACCTGGCTCTGCTCCCTGCCAGCCGCGAGACTCACAAACCTGCTGAGAGAGGGACCCCGAGCCCACGCTCCCATTCTGCCGATGGGAGACTGAGGCCAGGAGGAGCTCTGTCACCTGGCCGGTGTCGGGGCACCTGTGGATGAGGAGGACGCTGCCCTGGAGGGAATACAGGGGAAGGAGGGTGGCTGGAGAAGGGCCTGAGCCCCCCAGAACGGAGCCAGTTCACCGGAGTCAGAACATGGCCTCATCTCCAACAGGCCTGGGTCTGAGTGTACTTGTTGTGTGACCTTGAACACCTCACTCCCACCCGGTTTTCTCATCTCTAAGATGGGCCCAGCCAGATGGTTCTGAGAAGCGAGTGAAGAGCGCGGCCACAGTCCCCTGTGCACAGAAGCCGCCACTGTCACTGTTGCCATGATCCCTCCCCTGCTCTCACCCGCCCCTCCACCCCCCACTCCTGCCTCCTGCTCCTGCTCCTCAGCCCCAGCCTGTCCTGAGTCAAACTTTAACCTGATGGATAGGCTGTGGAGCCAGCCTGGCAGGGGGGGCAAGACCGGCAGAGCCTGCTGAAATGCAGAGTCTGGAGGGCGGAGGGCGCAGGTGGGGGAGGCGGCTGGAGCCCTGCTGTGAGTGCTGATCTCCGCCTCCTCCTGGGGAGTGGTGGGCAGGGCTGTGTTGAAGGTGGTGGCTCTGGAACGGCTCCCTGTCTTCCTAGAGGCCCAGGTTGCAGTACCTCCTCCACTCTGACTTTCCATTTGCTCTGTTTCCAGCTCACCATGGCCAAAAGGCTGCATGCACGAAGGCTGGAAGGGATCGACCACAACCCGTGGTGAGTGGGCAGGCGCCGGGGAGGTGTGGGGGTGCCCCTCGGTCGTGGGGGCAGGACAGGGCTGGAGGTCCCAGTCCTAGGTCTGCAGAAACTCAACGGAACCCAGGACAGTCAGGTTTGCGGCCACAGCCCACGAGAGGCGAGTCCTGAAGCAGAGGCTTGGGTCCCAAACTCAGCTTCTCCCCGCTTGGCACTGGCACTGGGGCCCCTGACACCTGCCCGGACCCCCAGCTCCCCAGCTGCAAAAGGGAGATAATTTCATTTCTCTCGAACGGCCTTGGGAGGTTAAGACAAAATACTGCATGATAGCAATAGGCTACCCAGGCACAGGCTGGGGGCTTTTTAGGGGCTGTTTTATTTCACACTTCGGACAGAGTGAGTCACGCTAGGAAGGTAAGATGCAGGTGCTCTTCACTGGACATAAGCTGAGATTAAGCTCCTTTCTTCACCGACTTGTTCTAAATATGGGAGGGTCCGTGCCCACTGTTACTGGCGATAGATGGATGCAGTGGGAAGACGTGTGAGGAAGAGTTCATGATCTTCCGGCCACACCCGACCTGGGCCTGGAACATAGAGACACCTCTGTACTTAAAAAGATTGTTGGCTGTTTTTTTTATACACAACACGGGAAGATTCTTTCTTTCAAACTGCCCCCGTGTACAGAACTTTGTGTTTTGCGAAGATCTTCCTCCTCCATCTTCTCCTTCGATGCTCCATGGTGTTTGGGATGAGGGAGCCAGGCCCAAGTTCCCTGTAGAGTCTGGCTGATCCTCAAACTGCCCCCCTCCCTCCTCTCTGTGCAGCAGACTAGGCAGCCTGGTGGCCCATTTTGCTCACCCTGCCTTGGAAACAGGTGGAAGTCCAGGTCGGGTGGAGGGAGGGGCTGGTGCCGACTCTCCATTTGTTGCCCAGGGTGGAGTTCACCAAACTGGCCAGTGAGTATGATGCTGTGAACTTGGGACAAGGCTTCCCCGACTTCCCGCCTCCAGACTTCGCCGTGGAAGCCTTTCAGCACGCCGTCAGCGGGGACTTCATGCTCAACCAATATACGAGGGCATTTGTGAGTCTCCCCGTCCCTCCCGGGCCCCTGGACACAGGCTTCTGATGAGCCCGGGGAAGGAGGGGGAAGAGCCCAGGATACTCAGTCCAGCCAGAGTTCAGTGTTCACTGAGTATGTCCTCTGTGTCGGGCTCTGGCTGGGACAGCTCATGGTCTGGGAAGAGGCAGACGAAAACCAAGGGGAAAAAAAACACACAAAAAAAAACACCAGAAAACAAAGGCAGTTGATATGTGGTGATGGAGGAAAATGGGGCAGGAAGAAGGGGGGATCAGAGAAGGCTGCCTGGAGGAGGTGACACGTAAGCGGAGCCCTGAAAGACAAGCTACTAATTGATTTGACTCTAAATTCCAACGCTTTCTGTAAAGGGCCACAGAGTAGCTATTTGCCAACCCTGGGAGTAGAACAATGGTTCTTCAACGTTGGTGTGCGTCGGAATTGTCAGGAGGCATGTTCCCTCCAAGTCCACCATCCAGGGACAACCACTGCCAACAATTTGCCACTTTGCTTAGAGTGTTCAGACCTTTAAACTTTTAACCTTTAAAAATGCTTACATAAAAAAACATACACACATGCTTATATACCTATGTGTGAGACTTGTGTGTAACACCAATGGACTCAGACTATAAATAACATTCTGTAACGTGTTTATTTCCATAAACAGCATGACAACTTGCCCTGTCCAAAGAGCCCCCGTTCTTTTTCATGGCTGCATAGTATTCCATTGCCTCGATGTGCCATGATTTGCTTGACCAGCTCTGCCCTGCTGGGCTGGCTTGGGTATCTTACTGTTATGAACGGTGTCACAGTAAATAGCTCTGTGTGTGTCTCTTTGTGCAGGTGGGTGAGTGTTTCTCTCGGATACATCCCTTGAAGTAAAACTAGAGAACTAAAGGGCATAAGCATCTAAGCACATGGTCGATATTGTCAGATTGCCCTACAGGAAGGTTTACTCACAGTCCCGGCAACAGACTGGCCTCAGAGCTGGCAGGAAAGTTTATTATTTGGGTGAAAGAAGAACCTTTTGTCTCACTCTTGCCAACCACGGGCATTATCAAGCTTTTAAATACCTGCTAATGGTGACATCATTTTCTTATAATATAGCACCATTTCAATGTTACTTTCATTTGCTTTTCTTCAGTCATTATTCTTTCATATACACATCAGGCTTCCATACTTTTTCTTTTGTGACCTACCTCATTTTTTCATTTGGGTGTGTACCTCTATCTTGTTGCTTCATAAGAACTCTTTATATATTAAATATCTTACCTGATTTTCTTACCTTGCATTGTTTTTTCTCTTTGTCTTTCAAGTGTGCTCCTGGTATATTTTGCTGTACAGAAATTTTTCATTTTTATGTGGTCAAACCTGGTTTAGTGGGTTATTTGGTTAAATTCTCCATCTTTAGTTTCAGTTTCTTGCCTCACTTGGCTTAGCCTCGAGGGTTTTGTAAGTGTCCTCAGCAAACGAGTGTACGACCCAGTCTTCCTCTCCCAATGGGATCCTTTCAAAGCTGTGGCACAAAACCCTATTCCTGCACTTCATCTGCGTGACCTTGGGCAAGTCCTTTCCTTCTTCTGGGTCTCTGTTTTTCTACCTGCCAAATGGTGGGAATCAAATAATGCCTTTCTTGCCCTAGCCAGTTTGGCTCAGTGGATAGAGTGTCGGCCTGTGGACTGGAGGGTCCCGGGTTCGATTCCACTCAAGGGCACATGCCTGGGTTGTGGGCTCGATTCCCAGCAGGGGGCATGCAGGAGGCAGCCGATCAATGATTCTCTCTCATCATTGATGTTTCTCTCTCTCCCTCTCCCTTCCTCTCTGACATCAATTAAAAAAAAAAAAATAGTGCCTTTCTTGCAAGGTTGCTGGGAGGATCAGATGGCACGAATGTGCGCCTTGAACTTAAAAGGAGGTGTTCTAGGTGTGGAGCTGCCACTGCTCTGGCGGCTGTGTTGGGCTGTGCCCCACAAAGGCGCGCGCTCTGTCTGGTTCCCCACCATACCCCAGCCCTGGGCACTGGGCTGGCACAGAACAGGTCATGGCAGGTGTTACGGGGGAGATTAAAGGACTCACCCCACAGGAGCTGACTTTGCCCCAGGCCTGCCCCTAGAAGATGCTCGAATTGCCGGGATGCAGCTGAGCTGGTGGGCGGGCCGAGGCTGAGCCGGGCGGCTGACCCCTCTGTCCTGGCAGGGTTACCCACCACTGACCAAGATCTTGGCCAGTTTCTTTGGGAAGCTGCTGGGACAGGAGATAGACCCTCTAAAGAACGTGCTGGTGACTGTGGGTGCCTACGGGGCCCTGTTCACAGCCTTCCAGGCCCTGGTGGACGAAGGAGATGAGGTGAGTGGGGCAGGGCTGGGGCCTGGTGGGGGCGAGGGGTCAGGGTGATACTGAACTCAGCTCATCTGACCCTTGTACCAGGTCATCATCATCGAGCCTTTTTTTGACTGTTACGAGCCCATGACATTGATGGCAGGGGGTTGCCCTGTGTTTGTGCCCCTGAAGCCGGTGAGAATGCTGGTTGGGGTGAGGGTGGGTAGAGGGGTCCAAGGAGTGTGCTGTGTTGGACCCGAGTGAGGAAGGGAGGGAGGGAGGAAGGGAGGAAGGAAGGAAGGGAAGCCGTTTCTCCAGGATGGGGAGAGGGTGGGGACAGTGGCAGGGGAAGAGGGTCAGATCCTTAGCACTGACTGCCAGGGAAGCAAGTACTGCCGCCCTCTTGCAGACCCCGACCCGGGATGGGGAACTGGATTCCAGCAGCAACTGGCAGCTGGACCCCACGGAGCTGGCCAGCAAGTTCACATCTCGCACCAAAGCCCTAGTCCTCAACACACCCAACAACCCCCTGGGAAAGGTACTGAGACCTTCTGGAGACCCCTCTGCACTGGGTTCAAGCCCACACGCTTACTGATTGCCGCCTCGGGGCCTCAGGTTCTTCCTCTGGAGCAGGAGGGCTGCCTGTGTGAGCTGTGAGGGTGAGAGGGCTGGTGGTGGAGCGGGCTGGGTGCCTCCATACCTACTTCCCCATGGCCCGGAGACAGTGGCTTCACCTCTCGGAGTGTTTTCTCATCTGTTAAATGGGAACATGACAAAACCAGTGTGAAGGAAAACCCAGTCTTCCTCCTGGGTGTCTCCTACACTCACGCACGACTCGCGCACTCACGCTTCTGATACCAGATGGGGGGGTTTCCCACACCAAGCAATTCTGCGACACCTGCCTGGTGCCCTACAATTTAACTCAGTTCAGTTCTGACCCTGTCTTCCTGGAGGGAGCATCCATCCCGCAGGCTAAGGGCTCAGCCTCACGAGACGGCCCCCATGTCACTTCAGATGCCAGTGCCCAAGTCCAGGTGGTCACCTGTGCCCCTGACCAGGCAGCTGGGAATGTGAGCTTCCCATGACCCCCTCCTTGGGTTCAGTTAATTTGCTAGAGCAGCTCCCGGAACTCAGGGAAAACGTTTACCAGCGTATTAAAGAACGTGATAAAGGACGCAGGTGAACGGCCGGATGAAGAGATCCATAGGGCGAGGCCTGGGAGGGCCTCAAGCACAGCAGTGTCTGTCCCCAGGGAGTAGGGCTGCATCACCCTCTCGGGTGCCCAACCCGGAAGCTCTCTGAGCCCCACGTGATTGGGGTTACGGCGACTTCATCACGTAGGCATAACCAATGAGTAACTCCATTTCCAGCCCCTCTCCCTCTCTAGGAAAGTGGGGCTGGAAAATCCAGGCTTCTCATTCCGGCTTGGTCTTTCTAGGACCAGCCCTGCCCAGGACCCCACCCAGAGCTGCCTCATTAGAACAAAAGGTGTTCCCAGCGCTCTTATCACTTAGGCATTTACAAGGGTTTCAGGAGCTCTGTGCCAGGAACCAGGGGCAGAGACCAAAATATATGTTTTTCTCTCTTTTTTTAATATATATTTTTTATTGATTTCAGAGAGGAAGGAAGAGGGAGAGAGAGAAACATCAATGATGAGAGAGAATCATGGATCGGCTGCCTCCTGCACGCCCTCTACTGGGGATCAAGCCCCCAACCCAGACATGTGCCCTTGACCAGAATTGAACCTGGGACCCTTCAGTCCCCAGGCTGATGCTCTATCCACTGAGCCACACCAGCTCGGGCTATCTTTTTCCGTTAACTCACAGGATCAGTGTTGTGGGGATTCAGTAGGATGGGGCAGAAAGGCTCTGGGTTTGGATGTGCCCTTCACCCCTCTGAGCAGGCCTGTGTGTTTGGGGACGGCCCACAGGTGTTCTCCAAGGCAGAACTGGAGCTGATAGCCCGCCTGTGCCAGCAGCATGACGTGTTGTGCATCACGGACGAGGTCTACCAGTGGCTGGTCTTCGATGGGCACCAGCACATCAGCATTGGTGAGCCCGGCTGGCCAGGGTGCCCCATTCCCCTGGCACAGATAGCATTGAGCCCAATCTGGGAGTCAGCAGCAGGCCTGATGATTAGGGCCTAAGGGTCTGGAGGGAGGCACACAGGTCATGTGACCAGGGGCACCCACCCCAGGCTTGTCATGAGGGTAACCTGGAATAAGTCCTATAAATAGCACGATCGGAGCTCTGAGAGTGAGAGCCTGAGGGCCCCCTGGGGTCCAGCCACCACCCCTTCCCTGCCCCCTCGCCCCATCTCAGCAGCTGTTCTCTTTGGCCTTGGGCAGCCAGCCTCCCTGGCATGTGGGAACGCACTCTGACCATTGGCAGCGCTGGCAAGACCTTCAGCGCCACCGGCTGGAAGGTGAGTCGACAAGGTTAGGGGATTACCCTACCCCCGTGGCCCCTGGCAGGAAAGGTGGCTGGGAATTAAGGACGCCTTTGTCCAGGCCCTGAAAGGCCTTACCCCCACCTGTGTTTGCGGTCTAGGTGGGCTGGGTCCTGGGCCCCGAGAGACTCATGAAGCACCTGTACACGGTGCATCAGAACTCCATCTACCACTGTCCCACGCAGGCCCAGGTGAGGAGGCCAGGGGACCGCACCCGGGGGAGGGAGGGCCCGGCTGGCTCCGGGCCAGGTCAGCCTGACCGGCTTGTGCATCCTCCCCACCCCCCCGCAGGCCGCAGTGGCCGAGAGCCTGGAGCGGGAGCAGCTGCACTTCGGCCAGCCCAGCAGCTACTTTGTGCAGCTGCCGCAGGCCATGCAGCGCAGCCGTGACCACATGGTGCGAAGCGTGCAGTCTGTGGGCCTGAGGCCCGTGATCCCCCAGGGCAGCTACTTCTTCGTCGCGGACATCTCGGACTTCAGTGAGGAATGGCCGGGCTGGGCAGGGTGTGGGGGGCTGGAGGCCGCCCAGGGCTCAGCGTGGCCTCTGTCCCCCAGAGAGCAAGATGCCTGACCTGCCTGGGGCTGCGAACGAGCCCTATGACAGACGCTTCGTCAAGTGGATGATCAAGAACAAGGTGGGCGGGGCCTCTGCCGGGGCCCCCACGTATGGTGTTACAGGCTGTGCACTGCTCCGGGGCTGACCAAGAAGCTAAGGGGCCACACTCCAGCCCAGCCTCTGCCATGAGCCCTGGTACAGGATGGCAAGCAAAGGTGGCGTCTGGGTTGGCAGAACGAATGCCTGGCCTCCCAGGGGCTCAGTCTTGCCATCTGTACAGTGAGGAGTTGGCCCATTAACTCTGTGGTCATCCAGCTCAGAGCTATGATTCTCAGGCTTATTTCCTCTCTGGCTCTGCCCTGACCCCTCTCTTGGCCTCCATGTCCTCTCTGCACACAGGAGGGACGTGGGATGTTCTGGGATTCTTTCCCTCTGACCTTGACATAGCACTGGGGGTGCACATTGGCGCGAACGCTCTTCCCCCACGCCATGAAGCCTCTGCCTCCCGAGAGCCGGGGCTGCTGGGCCGGGAGGCCCCGCTGAGACACGGGCTCCTCCCCCCAAGGGCTTGGTGGCCATCCCGGTGTCCGTCTTTCTACAGCGTGCCCCAGCAGAAGCACTTTGACCACTATATCCGCTTCTGTTTTGTGAAGGTAACAGGCAGGCAGGCTGTCGGAGGGAGGGGAAGCCTCCCCAGCTCCCCTCACCCCCTGGGGGTCTGGTGAGAACAGAGGGACCAATCTGTGTTGGAGCACGATGAATCCACCCTTCGGGCCATGGACAAGAAGCTGCAGAGTGAAGGATGAGCTCGGGGCTGACGGCGCCCTCGGCCTGCTCACCGGGTTGGTCCCTGCGTGCTCTGCAGGGCTCCTTGTCCAGGATTTGGTCCTTCCCACGCTGGGATAGATGGCACTGGTGAACCCCTTTTCTGTGACTCAGGGAACAGCCCTCCTTCTTAGTCTTGGGGGAGTTGGTAGCAACTCCCCACGGTGCCTACAATCCTGTTGCAGAGGTAGGGGAGGCCTGGCCTGGGCCTCTTCCTTGCCCCTCCCTCGTTTAGGTCACAGGGTCTTGGGTCCCTTCTGGCCTCACGAGACTTGGCTGGGACCCCATGGGCAGAGTCCAACAGTGTACTGGCCTTGAGTCCCAGCTCTGACCCCAGCAAAGGCTCAGGCAGCCCTCCCTTTCCTCATCCAAACTTGACCTTGGGAAATTGTCTTTACAGTACTTTTTCTCAGAATAAAATTTTAAGTTATTCAAACCTTTATTGGCTTTACTCTGCTTCACTCTGGTGCTGATCGCTGGTGGGGACTTGGTCAGAGTGGAAGGCACCTCGGTGAACCTCAGATCCTAGCACTTCTCTGTACAATGAGTCCCAGAGAAGAGCGGGGACATGGGACTTGTATGAAGTCACACAGTTAGTTAATGGTAAAACCAGGCCTAGAAGCCAGGGCTCAGATGGTATGTGTTCCTGGTGCTGGGTGTGGGTGTGGGTGTGGGTGTGTGTTTGGGAGATGGGAGCCTCATTTGAGTGTCTGACAGGGACGACCCAGACAGTCCCATCCCCCAGGGGTCAGAGGGGTCAGAGTGCAGGAAGGAGGGCCAGGGCTTACAGTTAGAGGAGGGGGAAGTAGCTAGTGTTTATTGTGTGCCCTCACATGCCCAGCCACTTGGGTGCCCATCATTTCATTAGACACCTCCCTGAGACAGGAATTATTTCTCCATTTTACAAGTGGGGAAACCACTCTGGAAGTGAGGCGACCCGCCCAAGGCCATCCAGCTGGCAAAGGGAGAGTGGGGTTAGACCCTGGGGGTGGGCATCCTAAGGGGAAACAATGACAGCTCCCGGATTCATTGGGAAGGGGTGCCAAGAGACTTATCCTGAAGTTGGATTTGCAGAGCAAGCCCATGGGTTTTGCTTATATAGTTAGTTGGGGGAGCTGATGGGCACGTATCGTATAGTAAAATATATTAGGTCTTTGTCACTGGTTCCTGGCACAGAGCTAAAACACTTGGAATTTCCCGAGTGATAGGAGTGTCTTCTGTTATTCATAACAAGTCCGCCTGACCATGTGATTAGATGTCAGAACTTCCAGCACCAAAGAAAGGAACTGGACATTGAGTCCAGTCACATGGCCAATGATTGAATTGATCATGCACCTGTGATAAAATCCCACATAAAAACCCTGAATCCATGAGTCAGAAGGAGCTTCTGGGTTGGTGAACACATCACTGTGCTGGGAGGTGGGCGCATCCAGAGAGGCCTGGGAGCTTTGCGCCCAGCCCCCACCTAACTGTGCTACCCGTCCAAGTCCATGTGCCCAGTGCTCCAAAATGCAAAAACTGAAGGGAAGATGGAGGCCCTAGCAGTTCCTCAAATCCATCTTAAGAAAATGCAGAGTTCAGGCTTCTTGCCCAGCCGGCATGGCTCAGTGGTTGAGCATCAACCTATGAAACAGGTCATGGTTTGATTCCCAGTCAGGACATATGCCTGGGTTGCAGGCTCAATCCCCAGTGTGGGGCGTGCAGGAGGCAGCCAATCAATGATTCTCCCTCATCATTGATGTTTCTCTCTCTCTCCCTCTCCCTTCCTCTCTGAAACCAATAAAAATATTTTGAAGTAAATAAATAAATAAATAAAGTCTAGTCCTAGCTGGTTTGGCTCAGTCTATCCACTGAAAGGTCCCAGGTTCGATTCTGGTGCATGGATATTTTTCTCTGTCTCTCCCCCTCCATTCCGCTGTCTCTAAAAATCAATGGGAAAATATCCTCAGGTGAGGATTAACACATACATACATATATGCATACATATATACATAACGTCTCAAAAGAGAGAGTAAATGAACGAACCTTTTAAGAATTGGGTTAAATGATCTCCAAGGTCATCTCCAGCTCTGAATCACACTCCAGTTTTGGGGCTCAGGGTCCCCCTATGTAAACCAAGCGGAGATTTGAGTGTCGCGCTCCGAGGACCCAGGACAGCACACGCCGCGCATCTGGACACTGACCCGCCTCGAGCCGCGCCCACCACTGCGCAGGCGCGCCCAGAGCCAGAACCGCCCCGCCCACGCTCTCCCGCGGCTTCAGGCCTAGGCCACGCCCCCGCGCGCCATCGCCTCTCTGATTGGGCGGCTCGGAGGAGGTGAGTCTGATTGGCAGGACGTGGCCGAAGGTGTGCGTCGGCCATGGCGGAGCGCGGGAGGAAGCGGCCCTGCGGCCCGGTAGGTGGCGAGAGGTAGGGCTCCCGGGGCAGGACCGGGGCTGGGGGCGTGAGAACGAGCCGCGTGGGGGCCCGTGGCGGGGCCGGGCTGTGCCTCTCGCTCCCTCCTTGTCGCTGATCTGAGGCCGGAAGCCCCGAGGTGTCGCATGCTGGTGGCCGAGCGCGTGCGGGAGGTGGGAGCGGGGTCTGAGCCTCAGCCGGGACAGCGTCTGGGAGCCCATCGCCGAGGCCCCTGGAGGCTACTCTGGCCGGGCCGGATCCAGGAGGTGGCACCCTGCGCGCCATCCCGAGCCCTTTGGTGGCGTATTTCTTCTGACTCCCAGGACCCGTTCCCCTGAACCTCAGTTTCCTCTCCTCTCCAGTGGGAACTCATTCAGCAATTTTAAAAAAATGTTATTGGTGGATTTGAGAGAGAGAGAGAGAGCGAGAGAGAGAGAGAGAGAGAGAGAGAGAGAGAGATAGAGAGATAGAGAGATAGAGATATGCATGCATTGGCTGACTCTTGTATGTATACCCTGATCCAACCTGCAACCTTGGTGTATCCGGACAAGACTCTAACGGTTAGAGTCTAACCAATTGAGCTACTCGCTCCTCGTTCAGCAGTTTATTAAGTGCTTACTATGTGCCAGGCCTGGTCCCAGGCCCTGGGGTACAACAAGTGGGACCCCCTCCCAGAGTGACCATTTAGCCTCCCTCCTGTACTTCTTCCCATTCTTCCAGGGCGAACATGGCCAAAGGGTTGAGTGGCGAAAATGGAAGCAGCAGAGTAAGTAGGGGCTGGGGGTGAGGGTGAGTGTCTGTGCTGGCCCTTCCCCAGGCCCTTCCAGTGGTGCACATCTAAACTTTGGGGAAAAACACCAGGTTTGTCCCCTGTGGGTCCCACAGCACCCAAGATGGGAGGAAGGGGTCAGAAGCCCCGGGAGGCTCCTCTGGCTGCCCACCCAGCTCACTTGAGCACCTGGGCTGGCCGGACCTGAGTGGGAACCCCCACCGCACTGAAAGGTCATCATCTCCTAGACTGCTCCACGCCCTCTCCCTCCAAAGTCCCTCTTACCTCCACCTATTGGGATGTCTTCTCATCCAGAGAAAGAGGAGAAGAAGAAGTGGAAGGATCTTAAGCTGATGAAAAAACTGGAGCGGCAGCGGGCGCAGGAGGAACAGACAAAGCGCCAGGAGGAGGAGGAGGCCGCTGCACAGCGGGAGGACCAGGGTGAGCGGACTGGGTCCTGGGCGGGGCAGAGAATGTCATATCTGGAAGGGACCTTAGACTGACCATCAACACCCCTCCCTTGCCCGCAGGGAGGCCCTACACCCTGAGCGTGGCCTTGCCTGGTTCCATTCTTGACAATGCCCAGTCGCCCGAGCTTCGCACCTACCTGGCTGGCCAGATTGCCAGAGCCTGTGCCATCTTCTGTGTGGATGAGATTGTGGTGTTCGATGAAGAGGGCCAGGAAGCCAAGTGAGGGGCCATTCTGCAGGATACCAAGCTCGGGGGGAAGGGAGGGGCTGCTAGCATTGGCTTGGGCTTGCCGGGGCTGAGAACCGTGCCTGAAATGCCCCATTGTAGTCCTGGTGGGTAGAGCTGCAAAGCAGGGTGCTGCAGCGGTCAGGTTGGGCAGACGAGCTCTTGGAGGGAACACAGAAGGCTCTTGAGCCCTGTCTTTCTCTCTCCAGGACTGTGGAAGGGGAATTCAGGGGCGTCGGCAAGAAGGGGCAGGCATGTGTACAGCTGGCCCGGATTCTGCAGTACCTGGAGTGTCCCCAGTAAGGGTGAAGGGCAGGCTTCCTGAGCGTGGGGGAGGGCGGGGGGAGGTACAGGTCAGGCAGAGGTGGCCTCCCTGGGAACTTCCTGAGATCTGTGTCCTTCACTAGGTACCTAAGGAAGGCCTTCTTTCCCAAGCACCAGGATCTGCAGTTTGCAGGTAAGGCTTGAGGGGTCTGACCCCCGTTTCCATGGATCATTCCCAGGTCCTGAGAAATTGCTACACAGCTGGGAAGCAGGCCCAGGCAGAGCAGGCCTGTGTCTGGTGCCAATAGGCAGTCTGTGACAGAGCTGGACCGTGGGCCAGGGTTCCTGCCATACCCGCATGTGCTTTTGCACCTCCCCTGACCCCCCCACCCCCCCACCCACAGGGCTCCTGAACCCCTTGGACAGCCCTCACCACATGCGTCAGGATGAGGAATCTGAGTTCCGAGAGGGCGTCGTGGTGGACCGGCCCACCCGGCCAGGCCAGGGCTCCTTCGTGAACTGTGGCATGAAGAAGGTAGGAATTGGAGTGTGGATGAACCCACACTTCCCAGATATACCCTGGCGATGGAGGGCCGGTGGGGTGTGTGGGTGGGGAGCCCGGGACCCAGGCATCTCTGCCCACCAGTTCCCCACTGATGCTGGTTTGGACCAGAGACGTGCTTAAATTGGGGCTCAATAGATAAAGCCAGGAGTGAATTTATTGTGTTGTGTTTTTTTAAGCAAATCAACAGAAAATGGTCCTTGTGCTTTTAAAAACAAAACAAAACCCTACAAAAACAAGTTCAAAGTCACTCTGGGGCTGCTCCAATGTGATGCAGGCCACGCTGGGGATTGGAACAATTCCTTTGCCACCTATTGGCTCTCAAGTCTCCTAGGGTCAGAGGCAGAGACATGTAAATGTGTGGGGTCCCCTCCCCTCGAACAGACCAGCTGGAGGGGGTCAATGGAGGGAAAAAAGGGACATATGTAATACTTTCAACAATAAAGATTTATTTTTAAAAAAAGAACAGAAATAACTGGCTACATGGATGGAGAAAAGCATAAAAACCCTCAAAAGAGAAAGAAAGCGCCCTACCCAGAATTAAAAATTGGCACAAAACAAACACCTATGTTACTCATCACAGTGCCCTCGTAGTGAGCGTTTACTTCATGCCAGGCCCTGTGCAGCGGAGCAGTAGCTGTTGTTTATGGAATGCCTTCTGTCTGATGGGTGAGCAAACTGAGGCTCAGAGGTTAAGGGACCCACTCAAACTCCTATGGCTAGTAAGTGGCTATGCCACCAAAATGAGAAAGCTGAGATTTCATCTACTCACGAAATATTTACTTCCTACTCTGCCAGCCCAGAGCATTCATTTGAAAAAAAAAAAAAAAAGTCTTTATTGATTTTTTTAGACAGAGAGGAAGGGAGAGGGAAGAGAGAGAAACATTAATGAGAGAGAAACATCAATTGGCTGCATCCTGCATGCACCCCTCTGGGGATCAAACCCGCAACCCAGGCATGTGCCCTGACCAGGAATCGGAATCGTGGCCTCTTGGTTCATAGGTCAGCGCTCAATCACTGAGCCACACCAGCCGGGCCCAGAGCATCCGTTTTTGACCAGTGTCTTGTGATAGTCATTTTGCAGGAACGGTGTCTTGTAAGCAGGTCTGGCTCAGGTGTGAGGGCTAAGGTTGACGTGGACCCTTTGGGTCCCGTGCCAGCCAGATTCTCCGACATCTGGGCGAGTGGTGACTCCCGCTGGTCCTGTGGGAAACCACACCCATGTCTGGCTTCTCCCTAGGAGGTGAAGATTGACAAGAACTTGGAACCTGGGCTTCGTGTGACCGTGCGCCTGAGCCAGAAGCAGCTCCCGGGTATCTGAAAGCTTCCTCAGCCTGGCCAGCCTGAGGGCTCAGACCCTCCTCCTCCCACCTCCTTGTCCCCTCAGCCCGTCTTCACAGCCTCTCCGCTTCCCCCCCAGAAAGCAAGACCTACCGTGGAAAAGTCGTGTCGTCTCAGGACCCTCGCACCAAAGCTGGTCTCTACTGGGGCTACACGGTCCGGCTGGCCTCCTGCCTCAGTAAGGACAGAGCTCCCCTTAAGAATCTCCTTCCTCTCTGTGTGGCAGGCCACAGGGAGCCTTGCTTGACCCAAAAGTCAGACCAGCGTCCTTGTCCTGCCAACTTGCTCTGTGTCCTTGGGCAGCTGCCTTTCCTGCTCTGGGCCTTGGTCTCCCTGAGTGCTTAGCCTGGATGCTGTTAAGGACTTCAGAGGAGAAGTATCATGATCGATTGATAATGTCTCTCTGGGGTTGGGAATGGGGGCAAAAGGACCAGAGAAGTCAGAGCTGCAGTACGTGTTCTCAAAGTCCTTCCTAGCCACCCTCTGCTTTGCTTCTGCGGGATAGCACAGGCATGGCCTCTCCCTGGTCAGTGCCTGACCTCCCAGGAACAGGGGAGGGCCTGGATGATCCCTTACCTGGGTCCCCTTCTCCACACCCCACCCAGCGCAGCTGTGGCTTGTGGAAAGCGGGACCCCTACTGAGCTGGCCTCACCCCCAGGTGCTGTGTTTGCTGAGGCCCCCTTCCAGGACGGGTATGACCTAACCATCGGGACATCAGAGCGAGGCTCGGATGTGGCCTCTGCCCAGCTTCCCAGCTTCAGGTGGGTCCAGCTTGGGGCAGGGGCTGGGGGAGGAGGAATGGAGCAGAGGACCGGTCTGGTGGGGGCAAAACTATAGACTGGGCTCCTGCTGTGTGTGGGGGCTGCTTTCAACGTGGCCTTGACGAGCAGTCAGTGATCCCCGCTACTGTGGTGCCAGGCATGCTCTTGTGGTGTTCGGGGGCCTCCAGGGGCTAGAAGCTGGAGTGAATGCTGACCCCAACCTGGAGGTGACTGAGCCCAGTGTCCTCTTCGACCTGTATGTGAACACCTGCCCCAGCCAGGGCAGCCGCACCATCCGCACCGAGGTGAGCCTGCCTACCTCCCCTGCTTCCAGCTGCCGGCCAGGCCTTGGGGTCTAAGGCGGTTGCAACTCTCCCTGTCGCATACCCTGCCCACGGCTGCCTGAGCCGGCCTTCTCTGGAGATGGCCTCCGCCCCCCTCGGCCTCTCACCGCTGCAGACCTGTAGCAGGGACTGGGTATGAGCGAGCTGGGAGTTTAGACTCCTGGGTGCTGGTGCCTGTCCAGCTGCTCCCAGGCTGGGTGACCCAGGAGACCCCACCCACCCCTGCTCTGGGCCCCCATTTTCTTCACTGTGTGCTGTGTTCACGCCCTCGAGTGTGAGCGCAGTGGGCAGGGCAGCCCTCCTGAAAGCTTAGTCCTGGGCATCCACAGAACCTGGGGCCCACTTCTAAACTCAGCACAGAGGGCCGTACCTGCGGGCTCTTAGCTGGGGCTGCTCCGCTGCTCCAGTGGCAGATTGGCAGGCTGAACCTGGGCCTGACCTTAACCTCAGGGCCCCGCTGGAGGCAGCAGCCCAAGGGACTGGGTCCTGGGCAGTCAGGCACTGAAGACAAAGTGGGAGCCAGGGCACCTGCCAGCCTCCCCGCCCCAGCCCACTGCTGCACTTCTCTTCCAGGAAGCCATCCTCATCTCCCTGGCTGCCCTGCAGCCGGGCCTCACCAAGGCAGGTGCTGGCACAGCAGAAGGTCCGTCAGGCACTAGGGAGTGAAGAAGCAGCGGCGAAGCCAGAGGTTCTTGAGGTGTCACCTGGGACAAACACAGCCAAGACTTCCTCCAAAAATAACCATCTTTAATGCGACCCAGCCACACACCCTCACAGTCTGGCTGGGCTGCTGCCCTCACTTGCTGCCGGCGGTGATGGCCTTGAGGCTGCCCGCCCTTGCCAGGATATTTGGCACAAAGAGCAGCCCCGAGGCCCGCTCGATGCTCTCAATGGGCACCAGGAAGCGCTCCAGCGGGATTGCCTCATCCACGGGCGCATTGGGCATCACATAGGAGCGAAGTTCGATTTGCCCGCCTGCTGCCTCCAGGATCAGCACCTTGAAGAAGTGGGTGGGCACTGCCACGTGGTTCTTGCCGATGACCTGGTACTTCACATAGGATTTCCCATCAGCCTCTGTCCTGCAAGCAAACCCAGGCACATGGCCTTTCAGGCTCCGGGGGAGTCTGGTTAGAGACCCAAGCTGCTGCCTCCAGGAAGCATTCCTTGACTTGACCCCCAAGTTGTGTCAAGCTGTGGGAACAACCCCTCATGAAGCTTCTTTGCTCTCCTTGGCTTCCCCAACAGACTGGGAGCTTCCTGCAAGGTAGACACTCTTATCCTGTTGTCTACCGGGTCAGCAGAGTGGTGGCAATAAATGCTGCTGAAAAAACCCAGCCTCCTACACATCCACATTCATCCATGCAGACGCTGGATGGCTGCCTGTCTCCCTGTGCAGGGTGAACACCAAGCAGCCAGGCAGTGACAGCTGGAGTCCCAGCAACAGCACCGGGCTGGGTATATAGCAGGTACCCAGAACACTGCCCTGTGGGGTGACTTCCACGCTCACCCTCAGCAGTCTACTCCACTAAAGCCGGCCTTAGGAGGTGCTTGCTCTTTAAAGTTCATCAGTGCCCTGGCCAGCCCATGCTGAGCCCTATGGGGACATCCACCTGATAGGGCCTGGATCCCATCCCAACCTATGGCATCACTCATCCAGCTATCAGTGGGCCAGAAAAATCACTGAGCATGCTCAGTCCCTTCCCCCTGGGAGGCAGGCCCGCAGGGGGACAAGAGGGAAGTCTCGGGGAGCAGAAGGGTTGCTCTGAACAGAGAGACTGAGGGCGAGAGCCTGGTACGAGGGGTTTTGGGCAGAACACAAGGTTGGACGGGTGGGTGTGGCAAGAAGTGATGTAAGAGGAGACAAGGTCTCCGACTATAGAAGTGAATTCAGGAGCCAGGCAGGGAATGGACAGGCTCACTAATAGGCCAGATGACTAGTGACCTGGCAGTGTTGACCCAGAGCCTGGGACATGCCTGGAAGGGGTGAGAGGGAGACCCTGGTACTCCCACCCCCACCCGCTCCCCCCAGTTCTAGCCTTACTTGGGCAGGAAGAGCGGCCCTGTGCAGACATAGACGTTCTGGTAGGTGCGGGTCAAGCTCCGGCTGTACTTCTCCAGGTTGTTCCAGGCCTTCTGGTTGAGGTGGGGCACCTGGTAGGAGAGGGGGGCTCAGAGACTGGCTGGGACCTTTCCTCTGTCAGAGGGGCTGCCCTGAACCCCGAGGAGCGGGCACTGCCACCAAGCCCAAGATTCCTGCAGAGTGGAGGCAAGCTTGTAGAGAGAACTGGTTCAAGGAATGGAAGTCACTCCTTTAGGCCACTTGGCCATGAGGGTGGAACCTGGACAGAGCTCAGGAGGGTGCTCCCAGGGGCTCATGGGAAGGCCAGCTCTCCCAATCTCCTTTTCCCGCTTTGGACCACATGCAGGATCCAGCTGGGACCGTCTTGACCTGCTCCCAATTCCATCACTTGAGCGCTCCAGTCCTCAGTACAGTGTCTAGTCAAATGGGAAGAGCTGACGGCAGGCATCTCCCTTTACTCCCGGGAGGCAGGCGGGGTGACAGTGGCTGCAAGCTCAGGGTGCTACAGACATTGCACGGGTCCCTTCCGATTGACACTGGGCCAGTCACTTGGCCCCTCTGAGCCTCAGTCCCCTCATAACTAGTATTTATTGACTGCCTACCATGGGCCAGGAAGTGTGCGCACCAGGTCTATAGTCCTCATCGCTATTGCAAGATGCAGGTAAATGACAGTGATATCCCCATTTTACAGACCAGGAAACCAAGCCCAGGGCCTCAGGGTCGGACTGCAGAGCGGGTGCTGGGCGCCGAGAGCTCGGTCCCCCCGGCTTAGGGCGGGTGCTTAGTGAGCCCTGACCTAGCTCGCGCCCTCGGCTTCCCCGGCTGCAGAGTAACCGAGGCTCCGAGAGCCCGGGGCGGGCTGGGGGCGGGCGCTACCTGGGGCGCGATGTTGCTCAGGTAGAAGGTGTCGTCCATGGCTTTCTGGCTCCAGCGGTGGTTGGCGGCGGCGGCCAGGTGGCCGCGGTCGAAGCCGCTGCCGCGGTAGTCGGCGTTGGTGGCGCGATGGTACGCGTGCACCGAGTCGTCCTCGCGGAAGTCGCACGAGCGGCGGTCGCCGTCGCCGCGGAGCCGCTCGGGCCGCAGCTGCTCCACGACCCAGAGCGCACAGCGGGTGCGCGGGTCGTAGCACAGCACGTACGACTCGCGGCTCTTGAGCTGCGCCAGCCCGGGCAGCCCGTACTTGGCCAGCTCGCCGGGGCCGGCGGGCACGACGGGCAGCTCGGCCGCCGCCGCCACGGGCAGCACTGGCAGCCGGCCCAGCAGCCCCGGCGCCGGCCGCGCATCTGCCCGCCGCCGCCGCCAGCCCTCGGCCGCCGCGCCCAGGCCGGCGCCCAGCGCCAGGGTCAGGGCAGCCCGCAGCGCCCGCATGGCCGGGAGTGCGTCCGCAGCGCCAATGGAGGGCGGCCCGAGGCGCCGGGAAACGCCGCGACCTCGAGGTGTTCGGACCGGCGACACTCTTAAAGGGGCCGCGCCGGCCTGTGGGGCCCACCGCGGGGATGGGGCTGGGTGCGGGCTTGAGTGGGCGCCATGTCCGTCCCTTCCACGCTCTAAGGCTCGGAAGGGCTTAGGACTCTAACGAAGGGAGTAAGACTAATAAGGGAGACCACTCGGGATTGGACGTCATGGTTCCTTGCCCTTTAAGATGCGGACCTGAGGGGCGCGGCACCGGCGCTTTGGTTTGTGATTGGCCACCGCTGGGGCGGGCTCCACGCCGCTCCGCCTCCTCTCGGGTCTCCAGCGAGGGACCCGCCCCCTCCTCTGCGCCTGCGGAATTTGTTCATAGTTTTTTTTTAAACTATAGTCCGGCCCTCCAACGGTCTGAGGGACAGTGAACTGGCCCCCTGTTTAAAAAGTTTGAGGACCCCTGTCCTAGTGGCAGAACAAGGACAAGGCAGCGGAGTCCGTCCTAACAACTGCACCACAAACCAAAAGTTCTAAGGCCAAGGTTTTCTTAACACCCAGAGAACAAGGATGCAGGCGGCCCATCCTAACTGCTGTTTGGAATAGAAACGGGCACAATTCCAGAAAGCAGCTTGGCAGTATGTATGAAAAGCCTTCAAAAGGTGTTCACCTTTAAACCCACTTAGAGGACTGTGCTGGGAAAATAAATCGGGAACGCAAGGATTTCAACAGAAACTTCCTCGCTCTGTTATAATAAATGTTCAGAAATAGAGACTGGATTTCCAACGTTGTTACTGTATTAGAAAGAATAGTATGTAGCCTATAAAAATTTAAGTCATACAGCAACTTGCTCAACACCTACCATGTGGGGGCTGACAATACACAAAACTATGTATCAAGACAATTATGCATTTCAGGGGATTTGGGGCATAAAATGAGATACTTGCAAAGGCCCTTGAGGGGCAAGGGAAGGAAAGCAAGGATTGTATGCATTGGACCCTAAAATGGACAGGAACTAGATATGTTTCAGGTTCATAAATTGCCCAGCTGACAAGTATTTGAGGTCAAAACCCTACCACGCACTTAAAAATTTACCATGTTAATAAAAGTATTCATTTGCTTGGAAAAAGAAAGACAATTATGTAATAAAAATTACATCTGTGAAGAAAAGACTAACATATTGTCAGGGATTTCCTCCAGATTGTGGGATATGAATGACTTGTTTTATTTACTGGTGTTTGAGTTTTCATAGTTTTTCAATCTAAAAAAACAAACAAACTTGCTCTGAAACCATGATGTAATTACCTTCTTCCCCAGTCCACGCTCCCTCCTTCTCCCAGCTGCAAACTGCATGTCTGAATGAGGAGCTAAACAGGCTCCACCAACAACTTTAAGAGCCTCCTGAGTCCACTCCTGCTCAAACTTTTCTTTCTTGCTCTGAGGTCTCAAAGGTTTCAGCCCATTACAGCACCAATGCCCTTTGCAAAGAACACATGATTTATTAAAGACAACTTGTCATCAACAGCATTGATTCAAGAAACATCAACAGCATTGATTCAAGAAACAAAACTGATTTCCTTAAAAAACAAAAAACACAAAACACAAAAAAACAAACAAAAGCAGACTAACTTTCTGACCCCCTGGAGCGAGCGAGCCCTGCTGAATTCATACTAATACAGCCCAATCTGTAATGTGTCCCAATTCCCGGGGCAGCTTCACAAGCAGGAAGCCGGGCACTCGGGCTGTCTGGGAACCTCCCTTGAGAATTTAGAGAAAGGGAATCACCAGGGGTAGGTCCTTTCCTCAGCCAAACCTGGACATGGTCTCTGTGCTCTTGACCTTCATCCCAAAGTCAAGGAGAGGGCACTGGCCTCAGGCCTGCCACTGAGGCAAATCAGATGCAGTGATTCAAGTAGTGTGGCCCCAGAAGGGAAGGCAAGGGGACAGGCGAGAGGGAACGCATCAGGTGCCCTGGGCAGTGTCTGCTGGGTCCCAGGCTGTGGCCCTCATCTCAGGCTGAGAAGGAGTCAGAGTTGGAACTGAACAAGCCGACAAGTTCTGGGAAGGTGGGCCAGGCTGGTGGGAAGCAGTGTCTCTGCCCCATGCAGGGTCTTGGAGTCTTCCTTCCAGTTCCAGGACAGAGCTCAGAGCACCCCCAGCAGGAAGGTTCCAGAGGCAGGGGGAGAGGACGCTGAGTCTGACCTCAGAAAGCCCAAAGAACATGCTTCTAACTCCTTTTCTGCATTCCCAGCTCCACCCACACCCCCAAACCAAGCACTTGCCAATCTGCAATAAATATCCAAGAGTTTGAATAAATAGTAAAAATCTCCCAAAAACTGTGTGTTATGAGAGGAGGTGGCAAACGGGCAAGTGCACAAAGTCCCAGCAGCATCCAAAGCAGTAGGAGCTCCTGGGGGAAGCTGTTCCTGGCCCACAGCCTGGCTTATGCGGGCAGAGTCCTGGCTGCCAGCCTCAGGAAGGCTACGGGGGCACCAGGGTACCTGGCCGCCAGTCTGAGCAGAGGATGAAGACCCTTGCTCCATGACCCGGCTGTCCAGACCCAAACCACCTGCCTCCTTACAAAAGGAGGGAAGGGACTTGATCAGAATAAGCCCTTTCTTTCCACTGCCCAGCAGTGGGAGTAGCCAACGGCTCCTGCTCTAAGTGCATCCACCCCAAATCCTGGGACCAGCCCAAGTGGGTGACCAGCACCCGCTTCTGCTTGCTCGGCTCCCCTGGCCCCGCCAGGATCCAGGGCCTCTGAGCTCAGCCGGCCCAGGGAGGCTCCCATGGGACTCGCCCTCCCTGGATGGGCCCTGAAAGCCGCGGGAATGACTGCTCTTCTGAAGCACTTGGTCCCAAGCCCCGGCGCAGCACCGCCTTCACGTCCTTTTCCTTTGGGGAAATCTCTGGAAGACTCAGCTCTCCCTCCTCCACCCGTGGGCAGAAAGGAGGGTAAGAGGCTCAAAGCCTCATGGGCCATCATTTCTCAGCAGCTTTTGGTTTCCAAGATTTGGGGGGGAGGGGGAGAAGCAGGTTCAGGGCCCTCTAGTGAGGCACTGTGGACTCCCTCCCAGTCTGAGGGACCTGGGAGCCTAGGGCTGGGGGTGGGAACAGGGTGCAAAGGCCAAGGGTGACTTCCAGGGGCTTTGCTAAGCCAGATTCCTCATTCTATCTCTGGGTTTCACAGGCGTGGAGGGGAGGAGTGGGGGGAAGAGGCTGGGGATAAGGCACCCCAAGAGAGGAGGGCAGAGGGAGAGCAATGTTGAGGAGCAAAGTCTCTGTGAAAGAGATGGAGGGAGAAGGAGACAGGCAGAGAGACAGAGAAGCAGAGACCTAGAGGGAATCAAAAACCCTCCCGCTCACATCCACACTGATGGACACAGAGAAGACTGACAGACACACACACCCAGTGAGGGCAGAGGGTGTGGCCTGGGCCTGGCAGCTTCTTAGCTCCCTCAGTGTCAGTGCCCACGGAGAAGCCTGAGCACCAACCCCCCAGGTGGTTTCTGGCTCATCTGCCAGCACCTGCCCCGAGCAGAGCAGGAGGGAGCAGCAGCGCAGAGGCGAGGAGGGACCTCTGCCAGCCCCAGCGCCCCCATCTGCCCAGTCCCAGGAAACAACCTCGGGAGCGCCAGCCTTGCTCAGCTGCCTGGGAAAAGGGCCCCAGGGTTGCAGAGCAGAGAGGGAGCCAGAGCTTGGTGGTCAGGAAGGAGCTGGCACAGTGTGCCCCCGTGGGAGTGGCCTAGGGGGACGGAGCCAAGGGAGAAGGCCTGGAGCTTCCCCTCGGGCTGGGATCCCACAGGCGTCTCTGTTCCAGAAGCCAGGACACGGACGGTGGTGGCTTCTCTCCCAAACCTGGGCCTCTTGCTGCCAGGCTACTTTGAGTCTTGGAGTTCCTTGGCTTTCTGTAGGATCTGGCAGACATCTGTGATGGGGTAATCCTGGGCACGGGAAAAGCCAACAAGATACCTCTGAAGTCAGCTCCCCCTCTGCCAACCTGAGCCCTTCCCCCTGAGACCTGTCACCATGCTGCATCGTGGGCCCCAGAGGCAGGGGGCTAACATGGCACTCACTGCAGCACGAATGTAACCAAGCCAACCAGCTCCACCCACAGGTCCTGCAGCCCTTCCCTGGGACCGGGACCATTCTGCTCCTCTCTCCCCACCTGGCACTGGGCTGGACTCTGTCTATACAGCAGCTCAAAGGGGCACCCCAAAAGCCCAATCAGGGGGTGCTTATGCCGATTTACAGATCGACTCAGTAAGGTTATTGCAAACGAACCCCAGGCCAGGTGTTGAAGAAATTGAGGCCAAGAGAGATTATTACTTGGCTTAGGTCACATGACTAGCAGAGCAGAACAAAGATGTGAGCCTAACACTGTCTGACCGTTGAGCCCATGTTCTTAACCGCTGAGCCCCACACTTTCCTGCTCCAGGTCTGGGCATGACTACCTCTAGCACTATCAGATACTGGGCACCGCTGTGTCCCAGGTACAATGAACAGGTACAGCACTTAGTTCAGAGAGGCCAAGTCATTCGCTCAAGGCCACCCTACACTCAAGGTCAGTGACAAAGCCGGGATTCAAACCCATCCAAACCCAGATCTGCATCAGGGGTCCAGAATCTTAAGCCTTGCTACACTCCACTGTTCTGACCCAGCCTGTCCCAGCAGCTGGCACAGGGTGGGCGCTTGGTAAGTGTCTGCCTCTGAACACCATTACCTGAAGGAGCCGCATGTTCACAGTGAAATCCCCTTCCAGCAACTGCTCCCGGATCAATCTAAGTAAGGAAAACAAGCAGCAAAACGCTGGGACCCTGGGCTGCGCTGAGTGCAGGCCCCGCCCGGCCCCTTCCCGCTCACCACCCCCAGCGAGTTTGGTCTGACACTGGCCCAAGGTTCCCAGCGGCTCCCTCCAGCCTGGTGAGGGCAGCCCCGCCCGCCTCTCTGCTCATGGCCACACTCACATGAGCATGGCGCAGCAGACAAGGAGGAGGAAGTCAAAGCGGCTGTCATCAGCGAAGAGGGAGTCCCAGATACGGATGACATCAGGCAGCAAGAACTCCTGGGACAGCAGCAGCGTCAGCCAGCGGAAGGCGAAGAACTGGGGCTTAATGTTCTGCTCTTGCTGGGGAGACAGAGGCACACAGTAGGTGCAAGAATCCGTGTTGGCTGGTTGCCATGTCACATCATGCAGTCTTTAAATGTAAATTCAGATAAACAGCGGGCCCGGAACCTAACCGAGGAGGCAGCAGGCCAGGGGTGAGCGCCAGGCACTCGGGGGGATAGCCCTGGGCCGCCTAGATAGCCTCGCTCGGTTAAAGGGGTAGCTGCTGCTTGCTGACAACCCATGTTGTCATATCTTCTGATATTTTTAAAGAGAAGCCATAAGCCCAAACTTATATAAGCTCTCTAGATTTATAAATGACAGCTCCGATTATTTTAAAACACTGTACAGCCCTGGCCTCTGTGGCTCAGCTGGTTGGGCACATCCCATGCACCAAGAGATTGCTGGTTCAAGTCCTGGTCAGGGCACATGCCCAGGAGGCGGGATCGATCCCCAGGAGGGCGAGTGCAGGAGACAGCCAATCGATGTTCTGCTCTCACATCAATGTTTCTCTTTCTCTCTCACTCTTCCTTCCTCTCACTCTAAAAATCAATACAAATATTAAAGAAATAAAACTCTGTACAGATTATAGACAGAGAGACAGACCATTACCTGGCACTTACTGTAAGTCAGTCTTGTGCTTAGCATGTTAAATATATTACCTCACTTATTTATTCCATAGGACAACCCTACAAACAAATTATTCCCAGCAGAGATGAGCCCTCTGGTCAGCCATAGTGAATATTATTAACTGAAAAACTGCAGTCCCGATACGCCAAGGTTTCAGGTTCAATCTCTAGTCAGGGCACACACAAGAATCAACCAATGAATGCATAAGTCAACAGAACAAATCGATGTTTCTCTCTCTCTCTCCCTTCCTCTCTCCAATCAATTAAAATTAAAAAATAAAACAGCAAAAAGATAAATCTATATTTGTTTTAAAATATCTTCATATAAATTTTTTTATTCCCAAAACTGTTTGTTTATATATAACTTTTTTACTGAAATGTTTTCTGAAATAAACATGAAATACACTACAGTTTTTAAAAAATTTTCTGACCCCGACCGGTTTGGCTCAGTGGATAGAGCGTCGCCTGCGGACTGAGGGGTCCCAGGTTCGATTCCGGTCAAGGGAATGTGCCTTGGTTGCGGGCACATCCCCAGTGGGGGGTGTTCAGGAGGCAGCTGATCGATGTTTCTCTCTCATCAATGTTTCTAACTCTCTATCCCTCTCCCTTCCTCTCTGTAAAAAATCAATAAAATATATTTAAAAATATTTTTTTCTGAACTTTAAAAAATGAAATTCACCCTTTTCTCAGGGGACAAAAAGGCTGAACTAATTAAGTGCCCAGTAAATGCCTCCCATTGTGCCTGGCACACAATGGGCACCCTATCAACTCCCCTTCCCTGCCAGCGCCTGGACTACCAGCATCTGCCTCGGTCTCTCGGCAGTGGATCACCGTTCCCTAGCAACAGCAGCCACTTTTAATCCCCAGACTCAAGCCAGAGCTCGCCCTGGACCCGGGGTGCTCAGAAGTCTGGCCCTTTCCACCTGTCTGCCGTAGCCTAGCCCGGGTGGGCGGGGGGTCCTCACCAATTTCAGGTAGAGCTCCACGTCCTTATCCTTCAAGGTGGAGTACACCTTTTCCATCTTGTAGGTGATGCCACACTGTGAGTCGTCCAGGCTCTTGATGAAGTTGTCCCGTATCTCAGCCATGAGGTTGGTGAAGCAAAAGAAGGTGTCTGCCTCGGCGTGCTCTGGGCGAGACAGGCAGGGTGAAGGCAGCCGAAAGGAGCTGGTGCCCTCCTGAGACCCGCCCCAAATCTCACCTATGACATCCTCCCTTCACCTCTGAGTCTCACCGAGTCACTGCACCCCCACGGTCAGGCTCAGTACCTTCTCTGTCCTTGACCACTCTCCATCCCAATACTAAGGACATCACCTCTTTCCTCTCACGTCTTCTGGTAACACTACAATCGCTTAGCCATTGATTATTCTCTTCTGAGGACATTTTTCAAATCATTATTTATTTAAATCCTATCATTCAGTTTCTTGTATAACATCTCATGCCCCCATCAGATATTCGGTTACAAATATCAAGAGCTCAGTACACTTCCAACATTCTAGCAAGTCTGAGCTGGGATGGATCTGAGAGGATCCAGGCCAACCCCGTATCTGACAGAGGGAGAATGGAGGCCCAGAGAGAGGCTGTGCGCTGCAGTCTGATAAAGCCCACGGGCCTGGCTTTCTGTGGTCTGTTTTTTAAGGAGCCGGCAACAAGGGATGTGGGCAGCCAAGAGCCCTTTTACCTTTCCACTCGTTGTTGGGGTCGGTGGCAAAGGTATAGTAGAGGGGCCCCACGATCTCGTTCATGCCCTGCACGTAAGCGATGCCAGGGTTGAGCTTGGCATAGATGAAGAGGATCCGCTCCACCACCTCCCAGTGGGCCTCACAGCCATTGGGCAGCACCTCGTACTCATTCAGGGATGATGGCGTTGAGTGCTTGTGTGGGGAGCTCATCTGGGGAGAAGAGGAGGAGCCCATTAAGACGGTGGGTGGCATTATGGACAGTATGTTCTCATCAGCAATGTCTACCATTAAGTTTAAACTTAACCTCCAGCTAATGGGAAATGCAGGGCATAGAGGAACGTGCCCAGCAGGAAAAGCAGACGAAGCCAGAAGGTGGGTATTCTACAAAACAGCCGGACCGAAATCTCACTTACAGTGGTAAGCCCTGGCTGGCTCGGCGAGAGTGGTTAGAGCACTGGCCCGACGACCGAAGGGTCTCGGGTTCAATTCCCAGTCAAGGAGACAAACCTCGGTTGCAGGTTTGATCCCCAGCCCCTGTTCAGGCGAGTGTGGGAGACAACCAGTCGATGTGTCTCCCTCACATCGATGTTTCTCTGTCTCCTCCTTTCCACTCTCTCTCTAAAGACTAAGGGAGAAAATATCCTCCGGTGAGGATTAAAAAAAAAAAATTTACAGTGATAAAAGCCAAAAACACTGCTTCCCTTTGTGGAGAGGGGTACTGCCCGGGAAGGGGCATTTTCTGCATAATAGACACATTCTGTGTCTTGTTCTGGTTGGCAGTCACACAGACATATACATAAGGAAAAATCCATCCCGTTGTATGCCTAAGATTTGTGCATTTTACTGCATGTTAAGTTATACTTCAATTTAGAAGACAAACTTCAAACATGTCAAAACAGAGAACTGGCTAAGAGTCTTCAAAAAGTGAAATGCTGTGGGGGCCGGGGGAAGGGCAGGCTGCTCCAGACCAAGAACCCAGAGAAACAGCATCCCAAGGCGGCCCATGAACCCGGGCGGGGCCTGGTTTGGGAGTAAGAACACACAAAAATATCCGTAGCGCAACTGAGGACACACAGTCACGGACTGGACGTTAGGAGTTATCATGCAACTGTTATCTTCCTGGATGTGTTAGTGCTGAGGAGGAGAAGGGCCTTATTCCCGGAGAAGCCTGCAGAAGTACTGGGGGTGGGGGGAGTCTAGGACACCTGCAACTTACGCTCTGTAACACAAAAACAAATACGGCCAAATGTTAATAGTCGTTAAATTTAGCTGGAAAGTACACAAGTATGTAAGTATGCATCATACTCTCTTTTTCAATTTTTCTGAATGTTTTGAAAGTTTCATAAGAAAATATTGGAGATGATAATCCCTGCTTAAAACTTATGAAATAGAGCCGAGGTCCCCAACACCGGCTGCCCATCTGGTCCTCGGGTGCCCGGGATCACCTGTATGAGAGCCACAGGCAAGCCCGGCAGGGACAGTGTAGGAAACTGTCCTGGAAGTGCAGGGCCATGGGATGTTTCAACTCCCTTTCCCATTATATGTACACGTGCATGCGTATACATGTATGTATATGTGCAGACACACATACATGACTACGTTTACTGAGAGCTCTCTCTGTGCAAGACAGTGCTCCACAAGCATGCCTCACTGTCATGCTCTGAACCACCTAGAATATTCTCTCAACATTCACTTTCAAGATAAGGAAACAGAGGCCCAGAAAACTTAGGTCACTCATCATGTCCGGCATTAAGTGGTGGCATTAGGATTTGATCCCAGACTTGCTGACTCCAGAACCTGAGGTCCAGGCCTCTGAGCACGCCCAGTGCTTTCCAGCTTTCCAGGAATCTGCACGGCCATGACCTCACTTCATCCTGGCAATTCAAATGCCAGGCCGGGCAGAAACGATTACGCCCAGCCCACAGAAGAGGAGAAGGACGCCGAGGAAGGTAAGCCCAGTATGGCTCGGCCGGAGTTAAACAGGTGGTCAGCTTTCACTCAGGCTGCCCCACCACGGTCCAGAGTCTAGGCATGAAGCTCCCGGTCAGCTGCTCTGCCCCAGGACAAGGTCCAAACCTAACATGGGTAAGAGCTCAGCTCTCCGCCCAGTGACCAGTGACACGAATGGCAGAGGCAGGTGCTGCAGCCAGGATGCACGGCAGCCCTGCCGACACTCCGCCAGCATCGGCCCCTGCAGCACGCCCCGCTGTCGCAGGCAGGCGGCCCTGGGACCAGCTGTAACCGCCATCACCCTGCAGCGGGAAGTGCTGCCTCCGACAGACAGAGCCTTGACCAGTCGTTCCACTTGGAGGGAAAGGCTCCGCAGGAGCATCTGTCTCTAGCGTTTTGGAGGCTACAGGGAAGAGTTTTTTCTGTGTTGAAGGCAGTGAAAAGTTCAGAGCTCCGGGTACCAAACCAGTAGGTGTAAGTCAGGAAATAAGGTTATACACTCATTTGGCTATAGTTACAGGAGCCTGAAAAGACTGGGGTTCAAACCCTCAGCATGGCCTGGGCAGCACCAGTCCTGTCAATTCTACCTCCCAAGTGCCTCAGACCTGTCCTTGCTCCACCCCAGCCCCAGCTCCCACCCGCTCCCGCCTGAGCAATGCAGCCACCTCCCAGACCCCCTCCACCGCTGTTCCTGTCCTTCAGGTCAACACCCCCACAGCGCCAGCAGCGATCTTTTACAAGAGCAGCCCCGAATCACATCACTGTCCTGCTCAGAATGCCACCAGGGCCCCCAGCCTTCAGGATAAAGGCCCCGTGTGGCCTCACCACCACCGACCTCTCCAGTGTCCTCCAGCAACTTCTCTCCCTTCCCCTCTGCTTCTAGCCACACCGGACACCTCTATTCCCTGAACACACCACACCACCTCCTCCCCAAAGACCGGCACATACGCCCTCCTCCCCGCTGGAATGCTCTGTCCTCCTAGCTCTTCGAGCATAAGCTTAAATGTCACTTTCTCAGAACTCTTCCCTGACATCCAGACCAGGTCAGCTCCCCACCCATCAATCTCCCATCATACCTGGAATTACTTTTTAAAGAGCCATCTCCACTACAATAGCAGCCTGGCTCCTTCACTGCACAGCAGGGACCTCCCCCAGTAACCATTACATCCAGCCTTGAACTTGATCCCTGACTCTCCAAAAAGAACCCTGGCAGGACTGAACTTGTCTTGAGTAACTGTCAGGACAGACGGTCCTGGGGCCAGTGGCCAAAGGGAAGCAGGAAGGAAAAGGCTGTCATGGGGAGTCCCTGGGGCTCCCAGGCTGCCTCTCACATTTGTGACCCCGCTCCGGTTCCGGGCCACGGTCTGGGATTTCAGCGTCGTCTGCTCCACCCGCTTACGGAGGGTCTCAAACTCGTTCTGGGGGTCCAGGATGAGGAGGCACGGGTACTCGGTGGGCCTCTGGAAGAAGGACATGTCTGGGCACAGCCTCCTGTCAAGAGGGAACAGGAGAGAGTACTGTTACCAGGATGGAGGCGTCGGACATCCCAGCATCCCAAAAGACATTTTTTAAAAAATTAATAACATGATATGTATTGTTAATTTAGTTTTTAAGAGGCAATATAATCATTATAACATAGACCCATATTCTTATGTGTGTTTGCAGATAGATACACGCACATATATATACTTTTTAAAGTGTCCTTATTGACCTTATGATCCAACTCGTCCCTTAAATCACAAACATCTTTCCATGTCAAAAACATCTAATATGTACAAGAGTGTTAGCTGCAGGTGGGCTAGGATGGTTACGTTGCACATTGTACGGTAGAATATTACACAGCTGACCTGGGAAACAAATGTCCAAGACAAAGTGAGAGGAAAAGCAAGTCCAAGGTCCAACGCGTCTCCCTCCATGTGCTTCAACCACACGCTCTTTAAACAGCCCAGCTCCCCGGGCTCTCAGGGCCTCACACAGGCAGATCCCACCACGGCCTTTCCCTCCCGCCTCCCCAGGCCCCTGACTCCCCGGAGCTCAGCCGGAACACGGCTTCCTCAGGCAAGGCGTCCTGAACACCTCGAAACACCCTCAACTCTTCCTTCAGAGCGTTTACCATAAATGCTAATAACACGAATGTGTTGAACACCTGTCTTCCCATTCCCCCCTACCCCCCACCCCGCCCCACAAGGTCCTAGGCTCCTTGGGAGAGGGACGTGTCTGTCTACCCAGTGCTCAACCCTGAGCTCGGCACTAGGGTTGCCATGTAGCAGGGGCTCGATATCCATCTGATGAAGAAATGATCAGATGAACCATAAATGCCCAGGACAACTGAGGCTAAGGCAGGGAGGAGAGCTGGGCACCGGCAAGCACAGGGACCCTCACACAAGCTCACTGCACTCGCCAGCCCATTCTCAGGCCCCGCATCACTGACTGCCCAGACCTCCCCGCAACAGCTCCTCACACCCGCACTGGACCCTGTGGGCCTGGGCTGGAAAGGAAAAGGACAGAACTGGGACCGCGCAGGAGTCCCATGGACCCACTCCCAGCCCGGGCACCCTGCTTACCGGACGTCTTTGTCGATCTGCAACAGCACCTCGTTGTCCTTGAAATATGTGTTCCACCGGCTGTCAGGGTTGGGGTTGAGTGGCTGTGGGGAGAACATAAGCTGCTAGCCTAGGCCTAGCGAGAGCTCCAGAGTCAGGTACGTTTTGAGGCCTGAGCAGTGGCCTCACACCGCCAATCCCATCACAGGCCCGGCAGTGGCTCCGAGACGCCTGTGAGCTACAGGGGAGCAGCACAGGCCACCGCAGCCTCCCAAACTCCGTTCCACCACAGCTAAGAGCCAAGCCCTGCTGCCTGCTCTGAGGACACCCCTGCCTGGAGGGCTCTATTCCTTCTGTCTACTGCTCTGGCTCTAGAATGCTGCATAGGACAGGTTCTCACTAAATGCTTGTTGACTGAATGAATGGATGAATGAATGAATGCCGTATCTTGAAGTCTAACTCATCAAATCAATGCTCTGAGTCACTAACTACAATCCTTGGAGGAGGGGCCTGGTGTGGTCCATCTCCACTTCTCATACTGCGGGGCACACAGGCGACGCACACTGGAGAACGAAGGAGGCTTCCTCCAGGCCACAGAAAGGCAGCCCCCTCACTGCTACCTGCTCTGGCTTTCTTCAACTATCAGATCACAGAGCCTACGTCAAGGAGCAGGGTGAGGAGGAAAGGAGGCGATGCGGGCAGAGACCGGGCCCAGTGCTGCTCACGGCGCTCCGAGCCCCAGCTATCACCGAGATTCCTGCCTGGGCCCGGGGAAGCGGGGAGACGAAGGCCTTTAGGGGAAGAGCGGCCAAATGAAGAAAGGAGGTACTGGAAGGGCCAGAGGGGACCGAGACCAGCTGCACCATCCTCTGGGGTGGGGGGACATTGCCCACTCAAAGCCCACACCCCTCTCCACCCTGTAGCCCCAGTCCCTGCTGCTGACCCCTACTCACATGGTCCTCAAAGGTCACATCCTCTCTGGACACACCCATGTTGGCCTTGGCAATGCCGGGTTGGATAATCATTTCCCTCAGGAACTGGGAATATAGCTCCCTGCCGGAGAGAAGAGAAGGGAGGGGTAATTCCCAAAGGTCTTGCCCAGGGAGCCCGGAACAGGAGGCAGGTCAGGCTCGGCACCACCTGTTCTGACTGATACAAAGACCCTCCCGTCACCCTCCTTTCTCCAGGTCTACCTACCTCTGCTTGGCCAGGATGGCGGTCCATGAGGCTCTCTCCAACGGGAGGTAGTTTAAGAGAATCTGCACAGAGCAAGAGGAGCAAGGCTCTGGTGACGCCCCAGCCAACCCTGGACAGTAGGCAGAGGCTGACAGGCCTCAAGCAAAACCCCTGATAATGCCCAGAGAAGACAGGATGGGCTGAAGCCCAGGAGCGTGGGTATGGGCTGGGGGAGCCTGCCCTTCCTCCCCACTGCCGCCCCCTCCTTTATCCCAAACCAGGCCTTTCCTCTTCTTCTCCTCACACAGACTCTTCCAAATGATAATGAGACCTTGTGCTCAAACGGGCTGGAAGCTAGGACTGGGCTTCCACGGCCACACCACATAGTCGTCTTGGACAAAGCACAGCCTTTTCTGTCCCAATATGCCTCACTCCCATTGCTCTGTCTGAACCAGGACCCAAAGGGCTTCACGGGCATGACAAAGTGTTCCATCCCCAAAGGGACCCTGCAGGGGACACCAAGAGGAACCGAAAACCCAGGACTTCCCAGAAAAGCTTCCCCAGACAAAGCAAGGAAAGGCCCAGAACAGAAAGAAGGGGCTGGGGGTGGGGGCAGCCCATGCAGGAACCAGGGCCTCTCAGCAGAGCAGAAGCCCACCCCAGGCACACCCACCTTCCAGCAGAGGCACCGCAGTCCGCCCTCACAGGGGATGCCTGTGGACACAGCAGGCAAAGGTCACACCCTAGGCCAGAGCCCCAGAACCCCCCAGCCCTCCACCTCGGAGCCAGGCGGCAGGGAGTAGAGTGAGCAAGTACTTCTTCAAGAACCATTTTCTGCCACAAAAGTTACTAGACTAGCTGCTAATCCTGCGTGTACTTTCTCTCCATGACCCCTGACCCGTCCCCAGCCCAGAGCTCCCTCTATCTGGCATATTCTTTTGAGGATTACACCTCCTCATCCTGGATATTTCTTCCTCGGAGCAACCTGTACCAACCACCATCTCTTCCCAATCAGGCAGATCACTCATTATATATAACTAGAGGCCTGGTGCACGAATTCGTGCACATTGAAAGGAAATTAATTAGAAGAAATATTTTAGAGGCCAGGGAGGGACCGAGGGAGGTTGACTGGCCAGGGAGGGACTGTAGGAGGGCTCCAGGGCGTGTCCGGCCTGTCTCACCCAATCCCAATGGGCCGGACCCCAGTAGCAAGCTAACCCACCGGTTGGAGCGTCTGCCCCCTGGTGGTCAGTGCGCGTCATAGCAGCTGGTCCAGCGGTCGACTAAACAGTCGACCGACTGATTGGACACTTAGCATATTAGGCTTTTATATAAATAGATGGCTCCGTGACTTCATAGCATCCCTCACAGCTCGGGTTGCAGAACATAATTTGTGTACTTATTTAACATCTTAACTCTTACTATGGGTAAACCCCAGCAGGGCAAGAACCACGTCTGATTTACCTTCCCGGCACCTAGCACACGGAAGGTATTCCACAAGTATGTGTGGAATGTAAACTAAGCTACAAAAGCTAAGTGCTTTGTGCTTTATAGACCTGATTGCACTTCATCCTCATCTTACAGATAAAGAAAGCCATCAAGGACTCAGGACACAGGTCAGTCTGACTCCAGAGGTCACACTTCCACCACGACCGACCGCAGACAGCCCCCTCCGGGGCCTGGCAGATTCCTCAGCCCAGCGCAGTTCCCAGGCCCCTCACGAGCTGCAGGGCCTAATTATCACTCCTGACAGAAAGGCAACCTTCTCCTGCAACACTGGCAGAGACCTTGCTAGTGCAGCTGCTGCTACCATGTCCCTACCTGCCTGGAACAGGAGCTAATGCCCCCATCTCAGAATCTGCGAGGAGAAGCGGGGAGCCACTAGAGAATTCCTCGCTGACGAAAGTACAAAGGCTGAGCAGTGACAAGAAGCTACACAGAACACCGGGGGGTTTTCAAAGATGAAGGTTAACCAAGCCAGCAAGGGCCAAGTCAAACACTGCTGAGGAACAGCTCCATCAGCCAGCTGTCTCGAGGCTGGAAACTTTCTCACCGTTAACCAAAGTTCACTATCGCCTCGGGAGGCTTTGATCCCCGGCCAGGGAGAGAACCAGGAACTACTCTGCAGCTAATCAAATTCTGCCACTCGGGGAGCTTGCTGGAATGTGGGAAGACGGGGCTCAGCTCAAGAAGCCTCCTCCCCACTCCCTAACTGCCATCTTCCGTCCTCTGAGTTATTCCAAGGAGCCAATAAGCATCATTCAGACACCAATGAAGCACCTCCGGCCCACAGGCGAAGCTAACTGTGGGCCGCCAACTG